AAGATGTGTTCTATTCTGAAGAACGTTCCATGTGCTTTGGAAAAGAATGTGTACTTTGCTGCTGTTGGGTGAAGTGTTCTATACATGTTTATGAGGTCAAGTTGGCTGACTGTGGCCTTTAGCTCTTCTGTATCTTTGTTGAGTTTCTTTCTAGATGTTCTGTCCTTTACCAAGAGTGGTGTATTGAAGTCTCCTACTATTATTGTGGAACTGTCAATTTCTCTTTTCAGTGCTGTTAGGAGTTTATGTATTTTGGAGCCCTGTCATTGGGTGCAAAGATATTTATTGTTTATATCCTCATGAGGGACTATACCTTTAATCATTATATAATGTCCTTCTTTGTCTTTTACGGTGGATTTTGTTTTAAAGTCTATTTTATCTGAGATTAGTATTGCCACCACGGCTCTTTTTTGGTTGCTGTTTGCTTGATACATTTTTTTCCATCCTTTGATGTTTTAAAATGTCTTTGTTTCTAACGTATGTCTGTTGTAGATAGCATATTGATGGGTCCTGTTTTGTTTTGTTTCATTTTTTATCCATTCTGTCACTGTGTCTTTAAGGGTGCATTTGAGCCATTTATATTCAGTGTGATTATTGTTAGGCATGAGTTTATTGCTGTCATTTTGTGGTGTGACGTTTTCTCTGTTCCTTTTTTCTGTGCTGAATTCCTTCTGTTTGTGGATTCGTTTCTTTTGTTTTTGTTGATTTTGTCTTTACTGAGACTTTGTTTTTCTTCTTCATTTTTATAAGTAGGTTTGTTAACTTTCTTTGTGGTCACCTTGAAATTTACCCATATCTTCCTGAGTTTAAACTATTCTTTTATTAGTTGATATCACCTTGACTTCCTCTTCACTTGAGAGTTCTATACCTATACCATTTATTCCCTCTTTTATTGTTACGACATTGTTGTCATTTATAGATTGACATCACTGGTTCCCTGTTGTAAGTCTTTTAGTTTTGTTTTATCCTTGAGAGTTCATTACCTAGGCTGGTATCTGGCTGATGTGCTCCTGTGTCCTAGATTCAGGTTGTTGTCTGATGTTGTTGGTTCTCTAACCAAAGGACTCCCTTTAATAAATCTTCTAAGTTTGTTTGTTTTTTTATATATTTCCTTAATTTCTGTTTATCTGGAAATGTCCTAATTTTACCATTGTATTTGAGCAAGAGTTTTGCAGGATATATTATTTTTGGTTGGTGTTATATATGTCATCCTATTGCCTTCCTGCCTGCATGGTTTCTGCCAAGTAATCAGAGCTTAGTCTTACTGTTTCCCCTTTGTATGTGACTTTTTATTTTCCTCAAGCTGCTCTCAGGATTCTTTCTTTGTCTTTTGTTTTAGTGAGTGTGATTATATGTCTTGGTGATTTTCTTTTTGCATCTATCCTATATGGGTTGTTTTCAGCTTCTTGGATGGTCAGCTTTTCATCTTTCATGATATTAAAGAAGTTTTCTGTCTGCAAATCTTCAATGATCCTCTCTGTGTTTTCTGTTCTCTCCCTGTTCTGGAACTCCAACCACAGGCAAATTTTTGCTTTTGATTGTATCCCACATCGTTCTCAGGGTTTCTTAATTTTTATTCATTTTCTCTAGGTTTTCCTCAAAGTGGTATGTAAGGATTTGCTTTAATTTCACTGATCCTGTCTTCCATTGTTTCAAATTTGCTCCTAAAACCTTCTGTTGCACTGTTCATTTTTGAAATCTTGTTATCTTTTGGATTTTTAATTACTGTTTTTGTATGATTTCTAGTTGTGTGTTTGACATTTTGTTTCTGTATTACTTTCCTGAATTCTTTAATTGCTTTGTCTGTGTTTTCCCTTTTTCTGTATTTTCCATGATTTTGTCTATTTTTTGTCTTATTTTTGTCTGTGTTTTCCTTCTTCTCTTGGAGAGCCCTGAATATTAGAGTTTTGAATTCCCTATGTGGTAGTTCTAGTGCCATTTCTTCTACTGGAAGGTCATCTGGTGTTTTATTTTGGTCACTTTCTGGAGCCATCCTGCCCTTTTTTTTTTTTTTTTTAATATGTTTTGATATTGTCTGCTGTCTTTGGGACATTCAGGAATTATTTTCTTGGTTTATTGATTGTAGATTTGTTTTTTCCTGCTTTTTTGCTTATGTCTGGGTAGGTGAGCTGGGCGTGCTTTGTTGCTTGCTTGTCTGTGGGCATGGTACATCTCACCACCTTGTCCAGGTGGAAGGGCCATTCATTCAGCTATCATGCAGCAGGGCAGGTCTAGAGAGGGGAAGAGGCAGGGATGGGTCATTTGCGGCATGTACTAAGGCTAACAGGGCGGGGCCAGGGGACAGTGCAGGGTGGGGTCTGGTGGTCTGTGCCTGTACCACTTGAGGATGTGGTGCTTGGCACACAGTACAGATAGGCAGGAGGGAAGGGAGAGAATGTGATGTGTGGAGCTAAGTGGGCGACAGTAAGAAGAGACTGAAAGAAAAAAGAAAAAGTAAAAAAATGATGGTACGATAAGATTCAGCAGGTGAGGGTGCAGCAGACCTGGCAAGGACGTGTGCCAGTGGCTCTCAAGCCGAGCGGTGCAGCTTGGCCTATCAAGAAGGAGCGTGGGCGGTGCATGGGGCTAGATGGGTGGGAGAAGGGAAAGAAAGAGAACAACAATAAAAATATGGTGATGGGGGAGCTGGTCATTGGGGGTGGGGTGGAATTGGGGTGGCAGTAAGCTGATGTCTCCCTCGCCGGGCAGCGCAGCACAGCCTGTCAGGAAGGGGTGGAGGCAGCGCTGGGCTTAGATAGGAGGGAGGAGGGGAAAGACAAATAAAAAATATGGCACTGAGGGAGCTGACCGGGGGGGGGGGGGGTGGCAGCACAGACCCAGGAAGGCAAGAGGCTCTCTAGTTGAGCGATACAGCACAGCCCATAGAGAAGGGGGGTAGTACATGGGCTAGGTGGGTGGAAGAAAAGAAAGGAAGGAAGGGAGAGAGTGAGAAGAAACAACAACAAAAAGGAAAAAGAAAAAAGAAAAAAAATGCACTGAAGGAGCCTGCCAGAGGGGGCGGTGCAGACCTGGGGTGGCAGTGTGCTGGTGGCTCTCTAGCTGAGTGGTGTGGTACAGCCCATCAAGAAGGGGCAGGCATGGCACACAGGGCTAGTTGGGCAGGAGAAAGGAAAGGGAGGGAGGGAGGGAGAGAGAAGAAACCAAAAAAAGAAAAAAAAAGTGCTGAGAGAGCCTGTTGGTGGGGTGGCACAGACCCAGGGAGGCTGTGTGCTGGTGGCTTTCTAGCTGAGTGGTGTGGGACAGCCTGTCAAGAAGGGACAGGGACAGCACACAGGGCTAGCTGGGTGGAAGAAAGGAAAGGAAGGAAGGGGGAGAGAGAGAGAGAGAAAACCAAAGAAATGCCCCCCCAAAAAAAAAATTTAAAAAAATGACACTGAAGGAACCAGTCAGTGGGGGCAGGGTGGGCTTGGGTGGCAGTGAGCTGGTGTGCCTCCGGCCTAGCGACCATGGCCTGTTGGAAAGAGGCTGCGTACACAGAAGAATGGTGGGGGTGGGAAAGCGCGTATCCTTGGTTACCGTGCGCTCTGTCTTCCCATACTGCCTGTCTGCCATTCTTGGTGGTTGAGGTCCAAGATGGCAAATCCATGCTACATTAGCTAGTAGGGGACCTCCACTCCATAGCTCTCCTCATCCTCTGTTCTCTGTCAGTTTCTTATTCCATACAGTGCTTAATCGAGTTCTTTATATCTTCATTTGATGCTTAGGGTTTCAGGACTGACATTTGTATCTGTTTTACTTAGTTTTTCGGGTCTTTGCTGTAGAGGGACGGCATGGTGCTTCTGTCTATAGGGCTGTGTTGGCTCCGCCTCACCACTACCAGTACCATGTTGAATAGAAATGGTGACAGTAGACATCCTTGATTTGTTTCTGACCTTAGGGGGAATAAATCTTACATTTTCCACCCAAATGAAAGAATAATGTATTAGTGAGGAATTGCATTTGGCTGCACATAATATAAAGTTTTATTAAAAAGTGGCATACAGAAATGAAGCAATTTATTTTTTCACATATCACGAAGTCTGCAGATGAGCAGTCCAGAGATGATATCATAGCTCTATCACACTGTTTGGAACTCAAACTCCTTTGTCTTCTTGCTCAGCTATCCCTGCATTGCCATCTCGTCGTCACAGTGTAGCTAGTGTGCTACCTCAAGTATCTGCAGTTCAGCAAAGAAAGGGAAGGACAAAGAACCAAACGTACATGGCAGCTGAGTCTTCTCATCTTTAAAGCATCCTTTCCTGAAGATCCACCTAACACCGTGTACTTGCATCTCATTGACTTGAAGTATTTTATAGAGCCATTTCTATACGAAAAAGAATGTGGAAAATGTAGTTTTTGAGCTGAAACCCACTGCCATCCAGTCGATTCCTCCTCATAGAGACCCTATAGTACAAAGAGGAACTGTCCACATAGGGTTTCCAATGCTGTAATCTTTATGGAAGCAGACTGCCGCATCTTTCTCCCATGGAGCGGCTGGTGGGTTTGAACCACCGATATTCTGGTTAGCAGCCAAACACTTTAACCATTGCACCACCAGGAAAAAAAAAAAACCCGTTGCTGTCGAGTCAATTTTGACTCATAGCAACCCCACTGGACAGAGTAGAACTGCCCCATAGGGTTTCCAAGGAGTGGCTGGTGGATTTGAACTGCTGACCTTTTGGTTATCAGCCAAGCTCTTAACCACTGCACCACCAGAGCCCCTAAAAAATCAGGTTCTATAAGTATGAAGAAGAAGATAAAGTGTATTCTTGAGTTTGGCATCTAAGTATCTCTACTATAAGAAATAAAGCTTCATCTTGTACAAGACTGCCAATTTCTGAGTTAAGAATGCTGGAGAAAGATCAGGTTTGGTGGAGAAGTTCATAGATGAGCGACAAGATTACTTCAAGTTCTGAAATACTATAACACAGAATTTGAGACTTATAGTCCATGAGTGTTTGATGTTTCCAAAATAAAATGAAGACATTTTGACACCTTGTTTAACAGCATTAAGAAAATTTCACTTATTTCTAAGTGAAAGCAGAGTTCATTGTCTGAATTCAAGACTCCTTCATTCCATTTCCTTCTACAGAGTAAAAATAGTCAAAGACAAGAAAAACAACTGGTTAAATAATTAATGTATCTTGATGATGTATTAACAGATGTGGATTTCCTGCTAAGCTAAAATAGGACACCGATTTCTAACCATTTCAAGAATGGACAGAAGATTCCTAGTAAATACTGTATATTATATAGAGTTCAAAAATGTGCAAATAAAGTGTTCCAGTCTCAGGCTGTCTGGGGTTAGGGAAGTAGAAGAGAAATAATGACTTTGATTGACAGAGTCAGGATATTTGGTTTAGGAGTCAGGAATATTTGGGGTGATGGTGATACAATCCAGAAGGTACAGTTTTAACAAGCTGACATGATGGTTCCTGGGCAAAGAGACTCTAACAAACATTTCCACTTCATAGATAAAATCATACACAAATGTTTTATTTTTTCATTAATTCAAACACAATTATCCATGGAGATACTATATTTTCAGTGACATCTATGAAAATATTTGTTGAAATGTGTTCATGATGCCTTGAAAGACACTGATATTTATTATTGGTTTACCTTAAGAGGTATAGAGAAGAAATGATTGATATGGTTTTCTAGTCCACTCCTATATATCAGGTTTCTCTATTAGCCACAGGTCTGATTCTGGCTGTTTCCATTCTTCTCCAAACAGTGTGTTAAAATTGAAAGGCTTGAAGTATTCCAGAAGATGGCTAGAAGCAAAGAAAAAGAAAGTGGGAATTGAAATGAATTATGCATTTGTGAAATAGTTGTCCTGAAGGGCTATTTATTTATCACATCTGTGATAGGACAATATTCTATTTTAACAAATACCAAAGGTCAGATGTATTCTGTAAGCACCATTTTCTCACCCTGGCTAGCAAACATTCAGCTCTGAAAACATTCACCCACATCTCAAATTACTCTCCTTTCAATTCTGCAAGTAACTCCCTCACAGGTGATGGGAGAAATAAAAATCAATCCTCAAAACCTGCCTCATTTCATTTGGCTATATACAAATTATTTTATATACTTCCAAATGTTTTTATACTCCAATGTTGATATAATTTATATTAGTCATACAAGCAATTGCTTTAAAAAGTTTCAGCTCCACAGATCAAAGGACAGATTTTCCTTCTTTGCCAAACAAGGAAGGTTAACATAGAAGAGTGTTGATACTAGTTATTTTCTTTCCAGGAAGACATTTAACTATTATTACGTTTTCCCTTGTGCCTTAATGAGGACAGAAAGACTTAATAGACTGCAGTAGAAACCACTCTGCCCGGCTCTGCCCTGGCCAATGGTATGATCATACTTTTACCCAGAGTAAGCTTCCAATTAGGTATGAGTGGGAAGCCTGAATACAGGAGGGTATTCGCTGGTGAAGAGCCAGAGAAACAACCCATCTTGGCAAGGTGACCCTGAGTCAGTTGCATCTACAATCCCATTCCATTGTGCCCTCCTGGCAAGGCTGAGCCAGTTTTCTAGTCACAACTGTCAAGTTCAGATTTAGATGTTAAGGAGAAAACAGTAGAGTGAAGAGCGTAACAGCAAGGAGAAGGCAAACGGAGAGGAAGGACAGTGTAGCAAGGGCAAAATAGCAGGAATGTCAGTCTACTATGGTGCAATACCCACTAGGATGTCTCTATTTAAAAAAAAAAAAAAAAAAGTTGCTGTCGAGTCAATCCCGACTCATGGCAACCCCATGTGCATCAGAGTAAAATCAATGGCTGATTTTTCAGAAGTAGACCATCAGGCTACTTTTCCAAAGCATCTGTGTGTGGACTTGAACCTCTGGTTAGCAGACAAGCATTTTAACAGACTGCACCACCCAGGGACCCCACATCTCTGTTAAGCTCTTCTCAACATTCATACCTACCAGGCTATGGTAGGCTGCACTGAGTACTCTCAGACAGATACGGGACAGAGGCCACAGCTTGCCATAGGACAGCATCTGGCTTTCTTCCCTATATGAGTAGTCCGGACAGAGGCCATGAAGGCTGTCCAGAAGCTACATTTTCCCTAGGTGACAGCTTCAGGGGCAAGGGACAAGACTTAAATTGAGAATGTACAGGAGATACTTTGGAATAAACACTTGATGTCCCACAGGAGCCAATATCTCTTGTAATAACTCCATAGGCTTAGCTTCTAGGGTCCTCACACAGGACATGACTGTGAAAGGGAAGCCCAAAGCTATGCTGCCCCTATCAGGTATTTATAGTTCACTGGCAATTCCTCTTGGCCTAGATGCAATTTACCAATTAGGGGTCATTTTTATCAGAATTAATGTTCTCTGGAATATCCCATGGATTGCTAGAAAGAACAAATCTGTCTTAGAAGAAGTACAGCCAGAATGCTCCTTACAAGTGAGGATGGCAAGAATTTGACTCATGTACTTGGGACATTTTATCAGGAGGGACCAGTCCCTGGAGAAGGACATCATGCTTGGTAAAGTAGAGGGTCAGTGAAAGAGAGGATGGATTGACACAGTGGCTACAACCATGGACGCAAGCATTGCAACAATTGTGAGGATGGTGCAGGACCTGGCAGTGTTTCATTCTGTTGTACATAGATCAAATCTTCATTACTTTCCACTTACAAATCAGGTTTTTGTCCTTGTTGTAGTTCATGCTGAGGTACAGGGTAAAGAGCTTCATAATGTCTTTTGTCTTTTGATCCATGGATTGCAAATGAATTGAATTTTGTGACATTTGGTGGAAAATAACACCAAGGAAGACATGTTTTTCCTTCCCATTTTGTCTCTCCTCTGGACACTTGGAATGATAAAGCAAGTCCTTGCTACAATAAACGACATGTGAAACACAATAGGTAAATTCAGACTTACACTTAAAATATATAAATATATATATATAGATATATAGATACATATATGAAATACTTGGGCACTTAAGAACTTTGTCTCATGTTTTTATTTACTTACTTTCCACACATTTCTTCTTCCAGAGAGTAAAAGCACCAAATGCTGTCCGTGGCTGTCAAAATTAAAATTCTTCATGAGTGTCTGAAAGATAGAACTATTTTCTTCACCATCCTTCATATCTGGAGTGTGTGTGCTTGTAACTAAATTTCCAAATAATCAAAACATACAATATCAATACTGGCTAACGAAAGGGAGAGTTTGATCACAAGAAAAAGACCAGATTTACTGGTCTAAAGGAGACTGGAGAAACCCTGAGAGTATGGCCCCCAGACACCCTTTTAGCTCAGTGGTGAAGTTATCTCCGAGGTTCACCATTCAGCCTGGGAGTGGACAGCCCCGTAAAACCAAATGAGACTAATGAGGTACAGTAATCCAGTGACAAGGGCCAGAAGGCAGAAGGGGACAAGGAAGCTGGTGATAGGGAACCCAAGGTTGAGTAAGGATATTGTTGATGTGTTGTGAGATTGTTAACCATTGTCATAGGGCAACATTTGTAGTAACTGTTAAATGAGAAACTATTTTGTTCTGTAAGCCTTCATCTTAAGTGAGAATAACAGCACAATTGGAAGAGCGTAGTCAATGTCACTGAACTGTGCATGTAGAAATTTCTGAAATGGTGTATCTTTGGCTATGTGTATTTTCACCAAAAGAAAAGGTTGAGAAGTTAGAGGGTTTATATGTTGTGGGGTTGTTGACCAATGTCATAAAACAATATGTGTACTACTGTTTCATGAGAAACCATTTGTTCTGTAAGCCTTCACCTGAAGTACAATAAAAATAAATAAATTAAAAAAAAAAAAAAAGAAAGAAAGGGAGAGTTTGAGTGTTTAATTATTTGGAAATGATGTCTTTGGGTTTATCATTTTCCAAACAAGGGAGTCTATTTGTGACAACTGCAGTCAATGTATAAAGCTACACATGCTTAGACTGCTTTTATATTCTTGAAATAAAAAATTATACAAAATATTTAATTTAGTTAGGTGATGCAACGTATGAAAAAAGGGGAGGAAAATGTCATGTTATTTGGAGTTGATAATAAAATTAGTTTCAATAACTAAAGAGAAGATGACACCAATTTCCACATCTGAATTCAATAACTTTACTATAGGTTATTTCTGCAGGAAAGCTATCTTCCAGCTCATTAGAAAACAGAAAACATAGACTAAGAACTAGTTATCAGGCTAAAGATTTTAATTTGACTCTATTCTCTCATACAGTAGTCCTCAACCTGTCTGCCTCTTGTGTTTTCCTGCTCTCTATTATTAGTTCAGACACTGATGTCACCTTTTCAAAGAGAAACACAATAGATCCTCAAAAAGGAAACTCTACTAGTAAGAGTGCATAACTGGGATTAGCCAGGTCAGTAAGAATCAAAGGATTGAAAATACTTACATGAAATAAATGTGCTGTCTCTAGAAAAGACGATACCTAAACATTTCTACACAGATGGCCTTTTGTGTTTCTCAAGGATTTCCTTCAGGAAACTATTCTAACATATGAAAAAGTGTATCCTTTTCCTTTTTTTTTTTTAGGAACAGCAAAAGCTCTCTGATTGTTTTTACTGTTATTATGCAACCTTAAATAATAGCCTAAAACCAAAACCAAACCAAACCTGTTACTGCTGAGTAGATTTCGACTCACAGCAATCCTACAGGACAGAAGAGAACTGCCCCATAGGGTTTCTAAGGAGCTAGCGGCTGGTGGATTTGAACTGCCGACCTTTCGGTTAGCAACCTAACTCTTAACCACTGCGCCCAGGAGGAGTAAAAACTCTTTCAAATTAAAACAACAATAATCTTCCTGTTGCTTTCCTAGAGGTTAATTAACTGTTATAGGAGTTGACTGCCTAAAACAAAACCGCTATTTTTGATTATCGACTGTCCTAATGTAAATGAAACCAAACCACTCTGGATTTTTTTAACTTAACTTTAAAATTTATTACTTTTACACACAGCGGTTACTGTGTAATTTCTTAAATAAAAAACCCATTACGATTCTATTCGTTCGGTGTTAAATCATCACTTTATGGGAAAAAAATGGTATCATTCAATCGAGTTAAAACTAAAAATTAAAATTTAGAATTCTAGAAGATCCAAGTCCTTTTCTGACCTTTAAACAGGCTCTAAATCTGCTTGCCTTATTTTTCTCGTGTGTCCAGTGAAAATAAACAATAGTTAAACTGTTTTTACCTTACATGACGGTTTACGAGAATTAATCTTATTTTTCTGTAAGAGATGTGGGCATCCTAGTTGAAAGGTGACACACAAAAACATATGAGTATTGTTCTTAACAAAATAATTGCAAACAGCTAGATTTTCTACATTGGGCTGGCAAAAAACTCAAGATAAGAGAAAATAAAATGATACCTAAAATCTCATTTAAGTCAACTGCCAGGGAATCTCGCCCAGCCCGCAAAGGGACAAAGACTACTGGATATTAGATATTGATAAACATATAAATGACATACTTTATTTAATATTTGTTCTAGTTTAGCTGAGAGGTGGGTTTAAATTTCGTATCTACAGAAGGAAAAAAAAAGGTTTGCCAAGCAGGTGAACAGGGTTCCCAATGGAATGCTCAAACAAAGACAGTTCAAGGTTAATATTTTTAATGAGTCTAGAAACAGCCATGTTTGATTTAGTTTTTTATCCCCTGCACTGAACACAAGCTGACATAATATCTACTCAATAAACGATAAAGGAAGAGGCACATAATTATGGAATATATAGAATAAAATTTATATTAAAAAGAAAAAACAAACTCATTGCCGTTGAGTCGATTCTGACTCATAGCAACCCTACAGGACACAGTAGAACTGCCCCATAGGGTTTCCAAGGAGGAGATGGTGGATTCGAACTCCTGACCTTTTGGTTAGCAGACATAGCTCTTAACCACTGCACCACCAGGGCTCCAAAATTTATACAGTCTTCTTAAAATTCACTAAAAAAATCATTTTAATACATTAGTTCAATTCCTTATAGCTATATTTGTTACTTTATTTCTGAACAGCTAATATATAATAATGCAAATTTACAGAGTAAATAAGGGGAAGAGTATTCAGTCTATAATAATTTTTCATTTTGCAGGAAAATTCTTTTCAAGTTTATTAGAAAATAAACTCCATCAGTGAATTGAAAACAATATCACCATAACAATATTTATAAACATGTAGATTATATATATTCTAAATATATACAATACACTTGAAAATAAGGAATTGTATAAAAGTATAAAATTCAGATTAGCATTCACCCTAGTTAGCTGGAATTAGTATGTTTTAACTATGACTATGATTTATAAATAAAAAATAACAGATTGAAATCATGTAGTAATGATTAAGGAAAAATATTTTCTACTTACGGACAAAGTTCAACTTCTAAATACTGCTCAGTTCTATCATTCAAGAAAAATGCTTCGACAACTTTTGAAAACAGAGAAATGACATATTGAGAAATTTTATTTTGCTTTAACAATAAACAATTTATTTTTTTAGAATATAAGGTGAATTAACTAATTATTTAAATTGCAGTTCTTTTCTCAATAGGAAAATAGACAAAGAAAATAAACAGACATTGCCTGGAAAAATAAGTATATAGAAATAAATCATTAATTTTCTCCCATATTAGACTGCCATAAATTGAAAAGATTAATAAAACCTAGTAATTGTGTTGTTGTAAAGAAATCCACATTGCCACATAGATACACTTTGAGCCAGTTATCTTCTAGGAATTTATCCCATGGAAATAACTAGACAACTGGGAAAAGAAGTAAGCAAAATGCTGTTCATTAATGTAGTGCTCAAAAATTGGAAATAATCTAAATGATTATCAGTAGGAGAACTGTTAAATAAACTATGGAACATCCATGCAAGGAAACATAATGCAGCCACTAAAATCAAAGATACAGTTAAATATTTGTTCACATGGAAAGCTATCTATGATATTTAATAAGTAGGCTGCAAAACAGTAATCAGATGTACATGAAATAAAAGTGTATACGTGTGCCTGTGCTTAGATGTCTGCAAAACGTACACTAAAATGTTAAGACTGGTTAAGTACGTGGGTTACAGGTAGGTAGTTTTTCTTTTCTTCTTTATAATTTCCTGGAACTTTTTGAGCATGAGTTATTTTTAAAATTGATTAATTATGAAAGTAATAATGCTTCTTGTAAAAAATTAAAACAACACAAAAATATATTAAGTAAAATGTCAAAGGTGTTTTCTTCCTCCTTCGGTCCAAAATCAGCCAGACTTTTTTCTATGCTTCTACAAACTATTTTACCTACATAGATTTAAAAAAATTTTTTTGGAATCATACTTTCCTACAACTTGCTTTTTTGACAAAAATGTTGCCAGCATATAAATACCTTATTCTTTTTAATGAATGCATAGTATTCTTCTATAGAATGTTATCAAAATTTACTCACCTAATGCTTATTGGTGTACACTTTGGTTGTTTCCAATTTTCCATGCTACTTTCATATAATAAAATCATTCCATCAACAATTCAGAGTCTTACTGCTTCTTTCTAAATCTTTTGTCTAGACAAATTAGGATGTCTTCTAATTTCTGTTCTCCATCATCACCTTACAAATAATTTTTGCAACTTCTCTGTATTAAGCCCTATATAAGATTCTCAGGTATATTCATTAGCTTACAATCAAATCAGTAGGCAAAAGTGGATATTTCAATTAAACGTCCAAGACATATGGGCTGCTAGGTGACAAAAGAAAACAAACACAGCTCAAAAAGTGGTTCACGGAAGGTTTCCTGGAGAAGGTGCTCCCTAAGCTCCATCTTGAATACTGAGTTGGAGCTGGGTGAAGGAGGTTGATGGAAGGGCATTCCAGAGAGGCTGCAGCATAATCAAAGGTACACAACTAGGAAATATCATGGCTTGTTTAAAAAACTGCAAGCAGTTCAGTCTTACTAGGCAAACCTTTCAACGTAGGAAGAAGTGGTGATTCTCTGCAGAGAGAAAAGGGAGCCAGCTCATAGAAAATCTTGTATACGGATTATATTAAGAAGGGTAAAACATATCCTACTAAGGTTTTTAAGTAGTTGAATGACAAGTTCAAATTTTCATTTTAGATAAATCACTCTGGCTTCTAAGTGAATGATGGACTTAAGGGCAAAACGACCAGTTAGGAGGCAATGAAGTCCTACAGTCGGGATGGTAGTCATGAAGAGGAGGGACTGAACTAGGGAAATACTTAGGAAGTGAAACTGGTAGGACTTAGTAAATAAATTCAAATATGGAAAGTGAGAGAGAAGGGTACCTTGAAAGATTTCACATTTCTAGATTTGATGATGTGACATAGTGCTATTTATTGAGATCGGGCAAACAGACAAACAAGCTGGTTTATGAGAAAAGTGCTTGCGTTCAGTGTAGGACTTGTTGAGTCTGCTGTCTGTAGTACCTCCAAGCATGTAAGTTACATTGGTATATACAAGTAGGAAGCTGATACACATTAGGTGAGAGGCAGACAATGGAGATGTAGATTCCAGGGTCAACATCATGTTAAAACAAAAATTACCCTGGAAAGCATCCAGAAAAGGAAGAAGAATCAAGCAAGCTAGACTGTAAGCACCTTCACCCAGGTCCATACCTCTTTGGGAAAGAGATATGAAAACAAGAAGAAAAATGAAAATTAAAAGCAGATATTCATAATCTTGGGTGTGTTATTTCACTGTCATTCCCCAACTGATAAAGAAGATTAAACTATAACAAGTATTTAACTCAAGTGTGAAAATGACTCAATGAAAAAGAAATAAAGATGGGAAATGACCATTCCGGCTGATTTAACTCCAAGTAATTACTGTATTCTGGTACGTAACATAAATTTTTTATTAATAATTACTATCTGCCCGTTGAGATTCCATTTGAGAACTATAGAAAATGTTGAGATTTAAATGCCCAAAGGTGGCAAGTCATGAATTAAACTGCTTTATTTTCTATAAACTAGCATGTATAAATAATTTTAATTATTAATTTTAGAAATTATATGACAGTAGAAGTCAAACCACAAGCTTCATTTTCCTGATTAATTACAAAAGCCAAGGTAGGGACCCTTTGTGGCCATGAATAATTCCCTAACACTTGTGCTTATACTGGTTTCTCTGCTACTTTATCATAAGTTAGAACTAAAGTATATTTTCACTGAAACATCAAAGGATGCCATTCAGCAATTAAATCTTTCCAAATTACAAAATAATTTAAATAGTATTATTTTAAATATTATTAAACATACTTTTGTCTTTTTTTAATGATTCAATAGAATCATTCAGTCTTTTATTCTCTGAAAGCATATTCTGCATATAAACTGTCACATTGTGACCATAAAGGAGTGTGAGTTATCAACGAGGGGTATCATTGCTGATGTCAGATGGATCTTGGCTGAAAGCAGAGAATACCAGAAAGATGCTTATCTGTGTTTTATTGACTATGCAACGACATTCAACTATGTGGATTATAACAAATTATGGATAACACTGCGAAGAAAGGGAATTCCAGAACACTTAATCTTGCTCACTTGGAACCTCTACATAGATTAAGAGGCAGTCATTTGAACAGAACAAGGGGATATTGTGTGGCTTAAAATTGGGAGAAGTGTGTATAAGGATTGTGTCCTTTCATCAAATTTATTCAATCTGTATGCTAAGCAAATAGTCCGAGAAGCTGGACTATATGAAGAAGAATGCAGCATCAGGACTGGAGGAAGACTCATTAACAACCTGCAATATGCAGTGCTGTGTGACCAGTGGGATGTCAGGTTGGCTGTGGTAGGCCTGGCCGGGGCCTGCAACTGGCAATGAGAGTATGGTCATATGACCACACCCTCTGAGGTCCCAGCAAGAGTCCTAACATCTAACAGCTCTGCAAACAGGACAGGCCCCCTAAATCTAATCCCAATGAGCACATTTGAAGGTAAAGTCTACCTTTCCAGATAGTCCAGCAACTAAGTCACCAGTTTCCAATGGCATTTGGCCCACTTATGAAAAACACTGACAACTCATCCTGCCATCCCCCTGCACAGAAGTTGCTGCACCAGTGGACAATAAAGCAGATCGCCAAGCTTCTTTTAATTAACAACAAGACATAGTATTGCTGCCAACAAAACAGTGCACAAAGTGCCTCTTTACAGTATCACTACCAGCTGACCCTATGCTAAGAAAATCAGCTTGGCTAGATGAGGACCCTTTCTCTTCTTGGGTAGCCAGGATTTGAATAGATAGTCTGTGACCTGTGCCACTGGTAAGCGACTAACACTTTTACACACTGAACTGGTCCTGACAACTGAGATGCCTTCTTTGTAAGTGAAGAATATACAACATAATCTTGAAGAACTGCATCGTGGTGCAGGCCAGAGGCATACTGTGTGTGTGTTATGGACTGAGAGACAAATCAATCTTATTGAAAGGATTTTTAATCTCTTGTTTTATTTGCCACTGTTAGTGTTTTTCTGGCTTAGCTTGTTACCTTTTTTCTGCTTCCTTGTTCTCATCTATTCTAATGGGCCCCAGAAATCCCTCTCCTGACCCACTATCAGAATTAGAAAGTGAGGAAAAAGAAAATGCTAATTACCTAAATGAGAGTTCCAGGGAAAAGTGGGATTCCTCTGAAGAATACCCCATTGTGCCCAGCTTAATGCCTCTTGAGAGTCTTGCCTGGCAGGTTAAGTGCCTTTTAAAATATTCTACAACTTGAAAACCTTTAAATCCTAATTCTTGGTTATATCATGCCAAGCTGTTGGATCCAAGCACACCAGTTCATATACTTTGAGAGATAGGTCTAAGACTTCCTCACTGTTCCCATTGTGTACTCAAACTGGAACCAATTCCTGAATGGCCCCCTCTGGCCTCTTGTGGCATCCAACTTTTTCAAAAACCCCTTGTAAGCCCCAGCCAGCTCTCTAGAGATCATGCCTCTCTAATGGAGAACTGCAATTTGTCACGAAACAGTTAAACCAGACTTTGTGTAGAGTCACTCTCATACCTAAACAACTAAAACAGATTCCCAATTCATGTGTTTCTGGTTGTTGCCGTGGCTGGCTAACTAAAACAGTTACGGAAACAACCTGCACTGAACCCATCAACACTACCTACTCCTACACCGACTTCCAAAAGGCAGTTGTTAAACTCCTAACTGCATCACTATAAAGATCCATCATCTACTCTGATATTTTTTATATTGCTAGTTGAGAAAGGAGTACAAAGTTAATCATCACAGAGTCCACAGTTGAGAAACTAATGCCTTCTCAACCAAAACTCTTCCATCTACTGACAAGCCATACTTACCAAGTACAGTCCCATAACTCAGCTCTAGAAAATGTGCATTGTGGGCACCCTCCTGTGGAAAAACTGAGAACTTCAATGGAGAAATAATTCAATGGGACCATATAACAAAAGATAAGCTGACTGTTCTCCATACTCAGTTCACTCCCCACCCCCCAATTTACTCTGCCTATTTGACTAGATTCTAACCAGATATCTAATTATTAATAGGTAGGAAAAAGTAGACCACCACCTCTTTTGTTATGCAACCTTCAGAATAGTCATTACAGGCAACAGAAAGTTAGCAACCCCCAGTAACGCTTTCCTGGCACACTGCTCTGACATTCATTTCTAGACAGACTAAATTGGATAACTAAAAAAAGGAAAATAATGGGAATAAGTATTTATCTGAGCCCTAGTAGGGCAGTGGTTAAGAGCTCGGCTGCTAACCAAAACGTCAGCAGTTCGAATCCAAGAGCCGCTCTTTGGAAACCTTATGGGGCAGTTCTACTCTGTCCTATAGGGTCACTATGAGTCGGAATTGACTCGATGGCAATGGGTTTTTGGTTTTTCCTAGCTTTTATATAAATATGCTTGCATATACCACACTGCTGGGGCTCCTACTTTTTGGTGGGGGAGTACAGTTTCAAACCTAACCTACGCTATTCCAGACCTATTACAGTACCTGTAATTACAGCATGAACGTTCTATATCATAGACTCCACCAGTGTCTCTGGCGAACCTGGCCTATAAGGTCGTCCCTCAAAATTACACAGATGCTTGTTCTATAGGAAATATGTTTCCTGCATCTTGGAACCCAGACTTAGACTTTTGTCAAGAGCAAGTTATACACATTGCAAAAGACCACTGGGAAAGGATAAAGAAAGCATTTATGCTTCTGGTATTAACCTTTAATGGATTAAAATGTTTCATCTGTGTAACATTTCCTGGAGCAGAAGTTTATGCACTTTCCACATCCACTGCAAACTTTCAAGGGACTCTAATAATTTTAAAGAATCTTACTATAAAAAATCTTAGCCTAATGCAATCTGAAGTTAAGAGTTTTATCAGCATTGTTCAGTTGTTAAGCTTTAGGTTTTCTCATAGCTGAACAAAGACGAGTATGTGCCCTTGTAAATGAGTCTTGCTCTGTTTATGTAGATGAGTCAAAACACAGAAATCAATATACAGTATAGGAACTGCATGAGACCATTAAACCTTTTCACACACCCTACAATAAAGATGAAACCTGTGTGTGGTCCTGGTTGACTGGGCATTTAAAGGGAATCAGAAAATGGACCATTAAAGGTATAGCATATATCCTCTTCCTTATTTTAGTTTTGCTTTTTTTTTCCTATTCTCCATAACTATGTGCCGTATACAATGTAGCATCAAAAAACTGAAACAGTAATGGAATCACAAACTCTATAAATGTATAGCAACTTTAAGGAGAAAGGATAATGTTTATAACCTAATGAGTATTTCCGCTGAGCCTTAGTTGTCCTGTTTTAAGTAAAAAGGAGGGAATTGTAGAGGCGAGGAAAAATATTTTAGTAGAAAATTACTGACCGGAAACCATATCATACTGTTAGTGTAACTGAATGTATCAAAAACTGTTCTTATGTAGGTGTTCTGTGAAATTGGTTTTTAAAATGTTGTAAGAACCTGTTCCCCCTCCCCCTACTTTTTTTTTTTTGGTAGGGTGGGAAGATGTAAAGAGTAGGCCTGAAAATTAAAATATGTTGGTATTTATTTAAAAAAAAAAAACCTGCTATATGCAGATGACACAACCTTCCTTGCTGAAAGCGAAGAGGACTTGAAGCACTTACTGATGAAGATCAAAGACTACAGCCTTCAGTATGGATTACACCTCAACATAAAGAAAACAAAAATCCTCACAACTGGACCAGTAAGCAACATCATGAGAAACAGAGAAAAGATTGACACTGTCAAGGATTTCATTTTACTTGGATCCACAATCAATGTCCATGGAAGCAGCAGTCAAGAAATCAAACAAGTATTGCACTGACCAAATCTGCTGCAAAAAAGACCTCTTTAAAGTGTTAAAAAGGAAAGATATCACTTTGAGGACTGAGGCGCACCCGACCAAAGCCTTGGTATTTTCAACCGGCTCATATGCATGTGAAAGCTGGACAATGAATAAGGAAGACAGAAGAAGAATTGATGCCTTTGAATTATGGTGTTGGCGAAAATATTGAATATACCATGGACTGCCAGAACGAACAAGCCTGTCTTGGAAGAAGTACAGCCAGAGTGCTCCTTAGAAGGGAAGATGGTGAGACTTCATCTCAAGTACTTTGAACATGTTATCAGGAGGGACCACTCCCTGGAGAAGGATATCATGCTTGGTAAGGTAGGGGGTAAGCAAAAAGAGGAAGACCCTTGATAAGACGAACTGACACAGTGGCTTCAACAATGGGTTCAAACAAAGCAATGATTGTGAGGATGGTGCAGGACCGAGCAGTGTTTTGTTCTGTTGTACACAGAGTTGCTATGAGTCAGAACTGACTAAATGGCACCTAACAACAACAATAACTCATTGTATTATAATTCCCTGCACAACAGTATTTCTCAGTCCTATTGAATTTGAACTCATTTCTAGATCTACAAAATGAGATACTGTTGAATGAAAAAAGGGTTCCTATGCTCAGAAAGATAATTTATTGCACAGGTAAGATATACACACCTAACAGTACATTTCTGTAACAAAAAAGATGCCATAATTCTAACACATGACAAATTAACACTGAAAAGTCTCATGTTATACAAATAGTATAAAGAAAGTAAATGACAGTATGGACTGGAAAAGTTATCCAAGACTTCTTTGTAGAAATGAGACCTGAATTAGATCTCAAACTATGTGCATTCAAGGCAGGGGGAATAGAATGAGAAATGGTACCTGAATGAGAATAAGCACGGTAGGACCACTAGCCTTTCAGAAGTTAAGAACTTTTGGTTGAGTGCCATGACTCAATTCAGGAGTACCCTGAAAGTTTATAGGAAGGGTCTGGACTTTATCCTCAGGGATAGTAATGGTTTGTAGTCTGGGGAATGGTATCATGAAAACTGTATACTAGAAAGATGAATCTGGATATACTAGAGGATGATCATATAGCAAACCTGAAACTGTAATTTCATGATGTGTCCCTCTTAGCCTTGTGTATGTGAGATTACTTGTCAGTATAAGGTAAAAACTACATTTCCTGTTGAAGGTGATGATGTTTCTATAATAAGTAAAACACCCCAGAACTTCCATAAAGAAGGTTTATAAGGCTGGAGTGGCAATTTAAGGATACATAAAAGACAAAACGGCAATGCTGAACTGCTTTTAAAATAGGTAACAGAAGTAAAGGAAGGAAATATGGCAGCAATCTAAAAATCTGGATTTGTAATTGTCATTTTTCACTGTTCTGGTTATACAGGTGAAGTCACACAGGTAATGGATAAAAAGTCAGAAAGAGAGATTGGCAGGAAATATCAGAAACTGCACATGTCAGTTGCTCAGAAGCACTCACTTCCTAACAGCAAGATAAAATAATGGTTTTGTGAGAGGTTATTATAAAAAGATTTATGATTGCAATAAAATACAGTATTTCCACTTACCTTCATAATCCCACAGTTCATTGAAAGGCTTTCCTGGTTCTCCAAGTGGGTCTGGAGGATCATTGAAAAATGGAGCACTGACTTCCATCATCACTCCTCTGTCACCGGGACTCAGCCTGACTAATACTGGCTCATGTGTCACTGGAAAACCATCCCAAGTGTGTTCAATTTTAAAATCCATCTGAAGAATAAAGAAAAAAACATTAGAACAAACCCTGTGACAGCATACTAATTCTTCCTTTGATTAGAAGAAAATGAAATTAAAATTGCAATGCCAAATAGCAAGCAAGAAGGCAGTAGGATGAGAAGAATATAGTTCTGGGAGTCAAGAGGCCATAATGTTGTGTCAAATCACGGACTCTGATATCTACTGTAAAATAGGTGAGCGGATTCTAAAATCTTTAAGATTGTAAGTCTAGATTCAGCTCCAACTCTGGTGTAAAGAGTGCATCAAAATTGTAAACGAAAAAAATTGCAATTAAGTCCCTTACAATTATGCAATTTACTATAACTAAAGGCACCATGCTATGAGTTGGAATCCACTCGATGGCAAAGGGTTTGGTTGTTTTTGGTATATAGGTGCCTTTTGGTAAAGGATGCATGGCTTCTCAATTACTGGGTCCTCTGGGAATCAAGATCTTTGTAATAAAATTCAGCTTGATAAAAAGAAATTCTCCATAAATCAGCTGAAGCAGTGCTGTTAACACCTATTCTTTTGGCTAAAAACCTTTTATTTGGGGGATGGGGTGGGGAGTTAATCATTTGAAGGTTAGTAGAAAATAGAGTTAGCGGAAGTTAGTAGAGTTGAATTTCGACTTCCTTGGTCACAGTGTATACTTGCATTGCATTTTCAATTTTTGATATTTCAAGTGTTGAATGACCACTTGCTTGGTTAATCCTTTCTCTCCAATTAAAAAAGGGGAACATTCTGTCCAAGGGAAGAGTGTAATTTTGACTTTAATTATATGAAATGACTTTAGTTTCTTATTGGAATGACAAATTTGCTATTTATTTTTTATTTATGTTGCTTAAAGAACATGCATGTCAATCTAAGTGTGTGTAATATTAATAATGAAATTAATATAAAAAGTAAATCTGTATCATTTAACCTTTGAAATAGACCAAGTACATTTGAAACAAGTAGTATTTGCATTTTAAAATGTTCTTCTAAGTATCAAATGGAAGGGCAGAGTATTATATTAATAAAGTTAGTTTTGTTGAATACTGTGGATCAGGTATTTTATAAACATTATCTCATTTAATCTCACAACAAAGGTGCAGGGGAACTATTATTATCCTCATTACAAATGAAGAAACAGACTTGTCCAAAGTCGTATAACTGGCAGATTCAGAAATTGGACCAATGTCAGTCATCATTTCCCAGATGAAGACATTTCAGGCATCCGCAGGAGATGAAAACTTTATTTTAGGGGTAGTGGGTCACAAAATTATACTAGATCCTTATGACTTTTCCAGAAGACAATTCTGATTTTTAGTACCTGATAATATTTCCATACTCTAACTTTCATTATCTGAAGTCTTTGAACACATTCCCTTGCTTCATGTTATTTTCAGTGAAAGTAATGAAGTTACTGAATTTTGAACTAATTCAATAAATATACTGAGTGTCTACTACATGCCAAGCAGTGAGAAATCCAAATACGTAAACAAGCTCTGTGTCACATACTAAAACCAAACCAAACCCATTACCGTCGAGTCGATTCCAACTCTTATCAACCCTATGGGACATAGTAGAACTGCCCCATAGGGTTTCCAAGGAGAGGCTGGTGGATTTGAACTGCCAACCTTTTGGTTAGCAGCCGAGCACTTAACCACTGTGCCACCAAGGCTCCTCTGTATTGCTTAAGGAATATAATTTATGAAAATCTTTTTCTAAGGAATACAGCTTTTCCTAATTTTCACTACATGCTAACAAATTTTAACAGATAACCTCTACAACCCACTTGCAGAAAACTAACAGCATTTCAGAAGAGAATATGTTCAGCAACTCATATTCTTCATTACTGAAGTAAACTCAGTGAGAGATAAGACCGATTGATTCTTTAAACTCTTGATTTAGTTGTATTATAACAGTTGGCTGAGTTGGATTAAATACAACATTGTAAAAGAGGTTTCTTGCTAAGGTATGTGATTCTGTAGGGTGAGTATTCAGGAGTAAGCTGGGAGTTAGTCACCATTGATGCAATTAGATAGGGAGCTTGAAAAGTCACTAAGCACTTCAAGTAACCACAGATTTTCCAAATGTTAAAAGAGCTCACTTTCGTATGCTGTAAGGCAGATATTTATTAAAGAGACTACAACTAATCCTATAAGAATTGTTACTTTAAATACAGTAGTAATTACACATTCCTAGTGTTTCATTTTTTAAACACATTTCATTTACATTTAAAATCACAGAAACCTCAATTTGCATGGAATAAAATGCCTCAATAACAAGTTTCTTTTCTTAAGTTGAAACATCAAGGGGCATGCTACAAAAATAAACATATAATTCTCTACTCTAAATTTTGGTATTAATATTATAAATATCTTCTTGCAGCACATAAAAGAAATAAGAATAAAACAAAATGTTAGAAATGCTGATTAACTCTTATTCTGGCACCCATTTGCTTAGAAAATATGCTATTCTCCTAACTTTGAGTGTGACAATCCTGGTAAAATATAACTTAGCAACGAGGAAGTTTTGGCAGGTTCACTCATTCTTCATACAACCACCATATCCACAAAAATGGTGCACACATTAGAAAGATTTGTATCCTGAAAGATTAGTCCAAAGGACTAATGGACCACAACTACCATGGCCTCCACCAGTACAACTAGATGGTGCCTGGCTACCACCACTGACTGCTCTGACAGGAATCACAATAGAGGGTCCCGTACAGAGCTAGAGAAAACTCACAAAGAAATACCAGACTTACTGGCCTGACAAAGACTGGAAGAACCCCGAGAATATGGCCCCTGGACACCCTTTTAGCTCAGTAATGAAGTCACTCCCGAGGTTCACCGTTCAGCCAAAGATTAGACAGGCCCATAAAACAAAATGAGACCAATGGGGCACAACAGTCCAGGGAGAAGGAATAGAAGGCAGGAGGGGACAGGAAAGCTGGTAATAGGGAACCTAAGGTTGGGAAGGGACAGTGTTGACATGTCATGGGGTTGTTAACCATTGTTATAAAACAATATGTGTACTAACTGTTTAATGAGAAACTTTGTTCTGTAAACCTTCACCTAAATTACAAAAAGAAAGAAAGATCCCTATCCTAAGCAGTGGGTCTTCATTAAGGACTTTTCAACTCCCAGTTCTTTCAGGCAACTGCATATAAGTGTAATAAAACTATATCCAATGAGATGCTTCTCGAAGTGGCCTGCCACTTCCATGCACACACTTTGGGTCTCCTGGTCAGAGTGGGTTATGCTTTATAGGTTTCAAATTGCTTGAAAATGTAATATTATCTGAAAGATAAGGATAAAAGGTAAAAGCAGAGAAATCCTTGTTGAGAATACAGGGTGGTGGCACCCTAAGCCTTTGTGCTGGTTCCCTCTGCCTTTCCCCTTAAGGTTTCTTAGAGTATTGTTTGAAAATTATTGCAAGAAATATTGACTGGACTTCCATTAGCAGTGGAGTAGTGCCATGGCTGATATGCCCAAGGGCAGAATGTAATTTTGGCTTTACTTGTATAAAATGACTTTAGTTTCTTACGGGAATGACAAACTTGTCATTTATTTTTTATTTATGTTGCTTAAAGAACACTTAATGTCAATCTAAGTGTGCATAATATTTATAATAAAATTTATCTAAAAAGTACAGTCCCGCCCACTAGCTTATAATCTAGTCTGAATATAACATGTCCCAAAGAGAAACAACTGATTCTCCCCTCAACTGCCTGGAGATACTTAGTAAACGAATAATTTCTTTTATAAGGATCAGCGTAAAGCTGGTTCCTATGAGGCGGAGGTTAAAGATGTCCCAAATGTCCGGCTTTTCCAAGCTGCTGTACCACTCCATCATCTCTAACATCAACTACTCCCTCTCCCCTCAGTACTCTCCCTCCCATCTTTGGGTTCCCTAATTCAGTCTCACAAAACTCACAAACTGTATAAAGGAAATGGCTCACAACGTTGTGGGGGCTGGCAAGTCCCAAATTCGTGGGTCAGGCATAGGCTTCTCCCGACCCACATGGCTGCAGGAGCTGATGAACCCAAACCAGCAGTTCAGATCACAGACTGTTGGCTCACAAGGCTGCAGAAGCTAGTAACTCAAGTCACATGATAGGCCACCAGCCCAAGGGGCTGTGGAGGCCGGCAAATCCCAGAATCGCCAAGTCAGACAGCAGCCTCTGGGGGAGGTCAGCTGATCACAGATCAGATGCGGGATCCAGATGCAGAGAGAGTGAGCCTCGCCAGTACACACACATATATCTTAGATGCAGGCCACATCCCAGGGAAGGGAGTAACTTTAGTAAGGGCGGGGCTTGAGTCACACCCTCCTACAAGGCTGAGACTCAAGACACACCTTACACCAATCCTGCCTCATCAACATGTAAAGATCAGGATCCACAACACATAAAATGGAGGACAACCACACAATACTGGGAATCGTGGCCTAGCCAAGTTGACACATAAACCCAACAATCACAGGTTCCCTACACCTTATTTGCATAGTCCCACTCAGTCATTGTGTGTGAGTCACAAAGACCATGGCTAGAGGGGCCATATTAAGTAATTCATTGCACCACATTTAGGAATCTCCTGAGATGTACCCCTCGCCACTTTTCAGCTTCTTTGCTTGCCCATATTAAGTAGAGACATTTTAATGCCCTCATGATCTCAGCTAGTGTGTTTCCCTACAACGCTCTGAGAAGCCATGCTTCTGTATAGGAAGAGGCCACTTAACCACCTTTCCTACAGCCCATTTGTCCAATTCCAAGAAAGGTATGTTCTCATAGTGGATATTTGTCCAGTCAGGGGTTAGCAGAGGAAGAGTGGAGAGACACCGGATTAAAGAGTCAGGAGACCTGAATTTTATAATAAAACCCCAAATCCTTATAATGGCCTACACTACCCTATATATCGGTGCTCTTCAGTTGAACTTTTTGCAATGATGGAAATGTTCTGTATCTATGTTGTCCAATATGAAAGCCACTAGCCACTGTGGCTATT